CATATATATATAATGTATTTAGTATTTACATATCTCACATCCAAAATTTCAAATTTATTTTTAAAATATTTTATATAAATTAAAATAATATTACAATCATTTCAATCTATTTTATATTTTTTTTACAAATTAACAATAATAATTATATGCTTTAATGTAAATTTACATATTAAATATAATTTCATGAAAATGCAAGTTGCATGTGAAACTCAATTTAAATACAAAAAAATATTAAAAAAAATCTAATAAATAAATGAATGCAAAAGTATGATTATTTTAATTTTTTTTATATCACCATTTAAATTTTTAAAAAATAAAATACATTTTTTCATGCATGCATATGATGGTATGTATGTGAAATTTGAAGTTTATGTGTTAGATATGTAAATGCGTAGGAATCGAGTGGTATCTACGTAAATTTTTCAATAATAGTAAAACCCTAAAAGTAAAAGGTGCATAATTTTAAATTAAAACTGAAATATATCATTTTCATGCATAATTAAAGTGACATGTAAAAATTAATGTTGAAGTTTTAGGATTTGGTTGGGGTTGCTGCAGCTTATTGAATAATCTGCTGATAATTAACTATTACAAATTTTTATTTTTTTGAAAAGTCAGACCACAGCCAGAAAGCTGCCACAGCACATAGACATGTGCGGTGCGAAAACGCTATTTTCAGCGTTTTGAAAACACATAACCTATCAAAATGTAGTTTACTCAAACATGTCAGGTGCGTTTTCAAAACGCAACCGCACCAAATAACCTGCCCCAAACAGATCCAATGTAAATACAAAAGATTTAAGCGGTATCAATGTAAATATCCCAACTAAAAATTTAAATCATGTCAATAATTAATTAATTTCACTATTTTTATTTTTTTCTAAAAAATATATTTTAAACAAAGAATGATTTTTTTAAATTAATTTTTTATTTAAACAAATGAAGAAATTGGCATACTTAATAAATCGATTGTATGCTGAGGGAGCTCTCTGCCTTTTCTCTGGAGCTGCAAAACAAAATAAAATAAAATAAAATAATTAATATATGTAAATATTAGAAATTAAATATTGTTTTATGTAAATTTCTGCTCACACACGTTTGTTGATGGTGGTGATTGTTGGAGGAGGAGAAGAAGCTTCTGCTGCTAGAAACTGATCAGCTTCTTCCTCTCCATCATAGCCGTACATTCTGTCCACAGCCTCTCCATTAATTCCTTGCTGTATTTCCTGAAAATCTCATTTCAGATTTAATTAGCAATAATTGCAAATACCATCAAGATAAATTTCAGTTTAGCATATATAACCTTGTCAAACTTTATTGTATTATACAATGTATATAGATCTTTTAGTTGGAGTTTGGCTGCTTTTATGTTAGATGTCATTTAAGAAATTTTATTTTATTATAACAAAATAATAATAATTTTTAAATTAGAAGAATATCCAAAAAAAAAGTCCGAAGTGTAAACACATAGTAAGACTTTCAGTAGAGTGTCATTTGCAGGAACAAATATTATGTCCGGACTCCGGACAGAGATACGTTCTGAGTCCAATGAAATCACGAAATGTGCAGGTGACAGAAAAAAAATTCATTTTAGCACATGAGAATATTTCCCCATTGTTATTCTGTATTATTCAGGTGTTATTGTGGTGGTATGCATGTATTATTTTGTTCTGAGAATATTATTAGTTTTATAATAACACAATAACACATCAATACCATCACAATAACATCTGAATAATGCATAATAACACAGGAGAAATATTCTCCATGTTACCGGCATGATCACAAGAAAATGAGTTTTTTTTTTTGTCAGCTCCAAGTGGAGGTGATTCATTGGACTGGAGTCCGGACCTAATGATTTTTCCATTTGCAGCCTAATGCATTTGCTTTATATTTTGAATAAGGGGTATTTACATACATAGTTCTTATGTATTTACATGTTTCACACCTAAATTAGCATTATTATCCCTTTATAAAAGTGAAATATAGCTTTTCATGCATGGGTGTAAAACATTCAAATGCTATGTATGTAAATATGAAAATATAAATATGAGACATGTAAATAGATAAGAATTTTGTGCTTCTTATGTAAATTTTTCTTTGAATAAATATGTTTTGACCACATGATGCAAAAGGATCGGGCATTGATGCAATTTTCATTTTTGTATAAGAAATACACTAAAAATGAGATCAAAATGCATGAATATCTCATGAAAATTATAGAACTGCCAAATTTTATGTAAAGATCTAAGGGTTTTTACATACATAGCTCCCAAAAAATTATTATTTACATGTGTCCCACCTCAAAATTTAATATTACAAAATCCGCCATTCTTCTTCAATGGCTATTTACATACATAGCATCCGAAACATTTTTGCACGAGAAGTTCTTAAGAGATCAATATGCATTATTGCTATTTACAAATCTAACCCCCTCTTTCGTCCAATTTTTTTGATTCTCAATCAAATATCAAAATTCATTCTTATCAAATTCTCAATGATTTGAACAGGACAAGCATCAATACATCTGTTCGGTGATTCAAAAATATCACATAGAAATAAGATTTTTGTAAATAATGATATTTCAAGTAATGTATATGTAATTATCCCAAAACACAGAACTGCAATGCAAGTATTTTCTCTAAAAATAAAAATAAAAATAAGAAATTACAGTTCTCACCAAGCTAACTGATAGCAAGCCAGTACAGTGACCGCATTTCACTGTCACCACCTTCAGCAGACTGCTGCATGGAACGCTCACCTGCATCAATGTAAAAATATATATTTCATCTATACCTAAAAGTATGGTTTTTGAGCAAAACAATGAATCATTCATGCAAATATTTGTTTTACCAACAAGAAGGTGGTGCAGAAGCTGCACTGAACATATCCTAGTTGGCATGGGAGGTCTGAGAATGGACTGTTGCAGGTGCTCATGGAGGAGGTGAAGTTGGAAGCTGAGGGTGGGAGGGATGATGAGGGAGAGGTGAAGTCTGCAATAAAAATTTCAATTTGGGGGTTAGTTATATAAATATGCAGATAATAGCAGAGTTGCAAGAAAAGCTTGCTGTTAGGTAAGAGATGGATACAACTAACTTGAGCTTTATGTTTTCAGCATTGGATGGGATTGGCAGTAGATTGATATTTTTGTCCTGTTTTACAAATGGCAATGGTGGATATAAATAGGAGTGATATTGAGTTGAGTTTAAATGAGTTAATTGAACTCAATATGGAAGATTTCAATTTTGAGTTGAATCTCATCTTAAATTAATGACCAACAACTAAAACTGAATATTAATATTTTAAAAACAAAAAATCGAAATACATCGTTGAAACTGGACTGAACGAATCAGAGGTATTCAGTTCGATTCAGTTTTTCGATTTTGACCAAATAATATACGCTCCTACCCTCATCAATTTTTGGCTAAAGATGTAACAAGAGAAGCTACTCATGATCATTGGCTTATTTGTCCTTTTATTTTCATAGAAGCATTGATGATTATACAAATAATACATCGATCCACATATATATCATAATTGTTCAATCATAATTAATTTGGTTATCTACTTTCACTACATGATTTATGCTTATTAAGGGAAAATCCGGCGCTAAACTCCGATGTTAAACGAGATTAGCATCGGCTTTATGTCGGAATTTTTTTGTTGTTAAAGTGTCAAAAATGTCGGATGCAATTAGTGTCGTTCGTAAATATCATTGTTAATAAGTTCCGTCATATCATACATGTACTTGCATGCTATACATATATACACATAGTATAAAAAAGATACATGTCATCTCTCTCTATCTCTATCTCTCTCTCTATCTCTATCTCCTCTCTATCTCTATCTCTGAGCTATTAATAACATTGCTAGAAGTCTGTGAGGAAACAACATGGCTGGTTTGTGAAGAGACTGACCATTATCTGTAGCTTTCTCCTTTCCAAATCTCCATCTATTTCCTCTCTGCCATGACTGAAGGAAGCAGCTACATGACCTCTCTCCTTTCATGTTCTAATGAGAGAGACATGCACTGATGACTTAAACAATTGAACAAAATGCCCACTTTGAAACATGGATGTTTCTAGGAAGCTTACTGAATAAGGAAAAAAAGAGTCAATTTGTCATCAAAAGTATCAATTTCTAAATATACATTTACATTTGTCTCTTCTCCCCTACAAAAAGTTTCATCACTTATTAATTACACTTCTACTTTTGTTGAATTGAATGGAATTTAATGCATGGCATCCAACCAAAGTCTTACAATGTACATGCAAACATCTTTTTCATAAATATCAAAACTTTTTAGGTGCATTTTCATACATGCATGCCACTCAATTCCCATGTATTTACATATCTAACACTTAAAAAGATGCTTTTTTTACATCTATACTACATCACAATTTGTTAAGATGATATATGTGTAAAAATTGAAGTATAGGCGTTTGGTATGTATGTAAATACATAAGAATTGGGTGGCATTTATGTAAATCATTCAAATTTGTTTATTGCAATCTTGCCCAAACTAACTTTTTCTCCATGTCAAGTATTTAAAAACGCACCTACTTCCTTTCCATAAGTATATGCATGCATTTAAACGTGCTCATATTCATAAAGTACAGCTTCTCCTGCCGGCCATTAATGGATTTTGCCATCTATATTCCTAAAAGGAGCACTGTTGAAGATGGCTTATTGAGTTGCTCACACGACTACTGTCCCCACGTGTGCACAGGTCCCACGTGCGATCTACAATTGGCTCACACGTGTGCATGAACATGCAAGTCATGTACGTGCGTCCATTGTTATCATATTAGTGATATGACATCTAAAACTTAGCAGCAGATTTGTATTTTTGGAAAATTACAATCAATGTGTAAGGAGGGTCAAACGGGGTAAATATTGCTTTTTGTTTCCACACAAATTTATTGTGTGAGGACTTACTTTTCATGTCAGTCTATCTGATTGATTTTGATGAGAAGTAATTCTTATGGGAATCAATTTTAATTGTATATACAAATATGACCATATACTGAAATATAGACTTTTCATGTATATTTTGAACGGAAATTAAAATGTTAAACTGAGCCCATATGCTGAAATGACTGAACCGAATTCATCTGTCGATGCCTCGCTAATTTCACCTCTTCAATGAATATGACATAGCCAACCGAGAGAGAGAGAGAGAGAGAGAGAGAGAGAGAGAGAGAGAGAGAGAGAGAGAGAGAATATACACAGATATTTTACAGAGAGAGGGAGGAGAGAGAGAGAGAGAGAGAGAGCTACTATAAACAGTCATTATTACCAGCAAGGATGCAAGTTCGTCGTTCTTTAAAAGCACCACCTAACATCCACACACGATCATTTTATCAAGACATAATAGATGGATGTCATATTTTACTAAATGCATTTTCTATTATTTTGTTCTTTTTATAGAAAAGGGAAGTCAAGATGAGAGGATCGGATCCTGAATCTTTTCTCGGAATCCCACACACTCTCTTTCAATAACATTATAATCTTAAAAACCTTCAAGGAGCCATTTTTTTAAGGCTCATCCGAAGTTCAAGTTAAATGCACAATTCGAAAGACCAACTCTCTTCTACCTTTCTTCCCAAAATATAAGATCGTTACCGAATTGTATGTACTCAAGAACGACACACAAGTAATGTCCTAAAAGGGTTCAACGATGAGGTTTTGATATATAAATTTGATTACCTAAATCAGATTACTTCTAACAAAAATATATACCAAAACCATTGGTATAAAACAATTGGAAGATTTGCATCCATAACAATGAATTCCTATGTATTTATCTAACATCAAAACTTCAATTTTTACATACAAGCCATATTACCTATGTATGCAAAAGTATATTTGGCATTTTAGAAATTAAAATAGTAATATCTTTTAGGTGATACAAAATCTTTTGGCGGTATAAATGTGAAAAACAATTTATGTATTCAATATGTAAAATGATATGGGTGATATGCATGTAAATGCCCCAATATAATTGGTTTAATTCAAGCTGCCATCAATGCTTTACCAGCACATGCCCAGGGACTTTAATAGCCCATTTATCATCTATCACATCTAGTGGAATGATGGTTAGAAACAATACTTGCGCTATTGTGGCTCAAATGTGGTTTTGAAGGCAACATGATTTATATATTCACTATACACAAAACAATGAAAAAAAAAGAAAGAAAAAGACTAATTGCTAATTGAGCCCGGCCTATCTTCTTGCATCAACTTGTAAACATTTTTTGCAATTAAGCCCTTTTCAATGGCCAGTTGCCAGAACAATGCTAGCATGTCACTTCTATCAGCATAAGAAGCACAAATGCATTTATAAATCTTTGATGTTATCATGAGCTTGTTCTTCAGCATATTATTCAGAATTTCGGAGGCTACTATTGGCTTTCCGGCACTCAGGTATGAATACGAAAGAAAAGTGTATACGATACCGTCTCCAGGAATTTAACTTGCATATTTGCATAAATCTTTTGAGCGTAATCTACCAAACCTCGTTTACAGAGTCGTCGAATTAATGATCTGTATATGGACTTATCAGCAAAAAACCCTCTTTTCACTATATCATCAGGTATGCTGAGCACTTCCTCGAGGTTATTTTGATTGCAGTAACCATCAACAAGCCATGAGAATGTGCTATAATTAGGGGAGATTCCTGCATAAAAAAAATGAGCAGAGTAATAGGTTGATGCTGCCCAAAAGAGAGATGTGCTAAAGATAAAAAACCAAAGGTGTATGTACATACATACCACCCAATTTCTACTAGTTTATATATCTAACACCAAAACTCTATTTTTTATATTTATACCACTCAAATATTTCATATCACGTCAAAAATATCACTATTGTAACTTTTAGAAAGTAAAATACAACTTTTCATGCATGGGTAAGGTAGAATCTATATGTGTGTGTGTGTGTGTGTGTGTGTGTGTGCCGCATACCTTGGCCTGTTGGTTGGCATCCTCGGTGTAAAACCCCTCAAATCGGGGGTTTGAATCCCCTCTAGCACAACTTGGCCTTAAGGAGGTGGTACTCAAATTATTTGGCACATTAGGAGTAGTTGGAGGCTCATATAATAGCCTCTGGTCATTCCTTTAATATATATACCTCTCTCTCTCTCTCTCTCTTTCTCTCTCTCTCATATATATATACACATAGATATATATATATATATATATATATATATCTCTCTGTGAGTGTGTGTGTATAAAAACTGAAGTTTAGATGCCATTAGATATGTAAATATATAAGTATTAAGTGGTATGTATGTAAATCTTCCAAAACCAAAATCTTTGCTGACAATAACTTACAAGCTACAGCATGTCAGCATGAATGCATTGTAATCAAAAGCGCTTCGCATTTTCAAAGAAATATGGCACCCAAAGCTATAAGTCTTAGGCATCACCATGGGTTCTTATGTGGTAAATAAATGTGCTAAAAAGTAATAGTTATTCAATTTAGTAAGTATATTTCAAGTATAAGGAATAGTTTTAAAATTATTAAATTATGATCATCATATGAAACTATGTTAAGCAAAATAATAAAACTTGAAATTTTGTTGTAGGCAAAGGTAAGTAGACTATCTACTTGAACTGCTTATGTGTGTTGAATGAGTCTAAGAATAATCTAATCTTGGCATATATTTATTCCATTTTCATTATTAAAAAACCAGGGAACTAAAATTAAATGAAAAGTTCTGCAGCATTATGGATCACAGAAGACAAATAGAAACAAAGTTCAAGTGAAGTTCTGCGTTCTTTCTTTTCAAATCAGCAAAAAATGGAACTATTTTAAGCAAAATTTATAATTTCTCAGGGAGTAAAGGTTGAACAATGGCCTGACAAGCCTTGCTACCCAACTGTTACCATGCAATATAAAACTTCGTCACCCTGGAATTCTGTACTTGAATTTTCCTGCAGTCTGGAGAAAAAATTTGTGCTAAGGTTTACTTTTTATATTTATAGCACCAAAATTTTTTATATCACATCCAAAATATCACTAATAGAAGTTTTAAAAAGTGAAACCTTTCATGCACAGGTAAGATGGCATATATGGAAAAATTGAAGTTTAGGTGTTAGAAATGTAAATACATAAGAATTGAGTGATAAGTTTGTAAACCTTCTTTTTATTTAATACATAGATAATGGGAAAAAAATTAACAATAGGAAAAATAGGCTAATTAGCCCATTGAAAACTCATGGACCTTTTAGGCCTATTTAGTTGTTTTGTTCATTGTAAATCCAGTCCAAATATTTAAAACTCAGTTTCAATTTCAGTTTCAATCTCATCACAATATTTAAATTTTGATAGTTTGTATAGTTTCAATGATATCAGCATTCAGTTTTGATGCCTTACTCTAGATTTTATTATTAAATATTTTAAGAAAACCTATTTAAGATAATAAACAAACAGAATTATAAATTAAAGCTTTAGTTACAACACATGAAATTTGATAAGAGCCTCTGAAATAGAATTGTAATAGAATTGCACAATCAGTTAAGAATTTTAGCAAAGTTAAATCTAAACCCTATGAGTTTCAGCTGAAACACCTTGAGTTTCATTCAAAACAATATCTAAATTCAAGTTTCGACTAAAACTCGTTAATCTCTCCTAAAACCAAAATATTAAACAAATGAGACATAATCGAAAATGACTACAAGACCTAATGCAAGGAAAGAAAAGCCTGAGATAGGATCCAATGGATGAATATGAAGTGGAAATATTAAAGGATGAGCACTCTTTTAATATTAGATTACAACATTATAAATCTTATCTGATACGCAAATGTTTATTTGCTTGTAATAAATGTTACCCAACATTTTAAAAAGCGAATGAGCAAAGCAAAGCTTTTGACTGCCACATAAAATGAAGTGCAAGCTTCAACATTTTAATTTTAAATATTTAAAAATATAAAATATATTATGATAAAATAAATTTTAAAAATTACAAATAAAAAAACTTTCATGCCTGAAATATACAAGTTTTATCATTTTCAATTAGTGACATTAATTTAAAACAAGAAAATGAAATCACATTAGCTTGAATTTTATTATGTAATAGCTATTTATATTAAATAAAATTATTCTAATAAATAAGCATTATAAAGAAAGCTTAAAATGAAATTAAGTTAAAAATAAACAATAGATGATGGCAAGATAAAAGAAAATCATCAAATTATAGGTGTGGTTAACAACAAGTGGAGGAGACAAACAAAACATAGGTGTTACAATTGGATGAATGGAGAAGAGAACAAGATAAAAAACCTAAAAAAAAAAAGCAACAAATAGGTGGCAATGCTTAAGGCATTTTCTTAAGGATAGAAACTGAATCCCATATTTTATATATTAAGAGGGGCAAAAGGGCAATGTAGAGAGAGATTTAAAATGGGGCAATTCTTTGATACAATAGACAAATGAAATTCAAAGATTTTTTCTAAGAAATAAAAGTTTAGTGAAGTAGAACTTGCCTCGATGATAGAAGTGGAGGTATGAGCCACCAAGCAAAGGCTTAGTTCAAAAGTATGCATTTAGAAATGGCAATGCAAAAAGTTGATGAGATAAGAGAGTTAGATTGGGTTAGACGAGAGATGAAAGAGAGAACACAAAAGAAACGATGGTATTGAAATGACATGAAGCTTTTGTATTCAAAAAGAGGAACTTGGGATAGATATTTCTTTTTATTCTTGACCTCTTTTGTTTTCATTTCTTTCCATTTGAAAATCATAAAATGTTGAATTAGGCTGTCAAAATTCAATACAAATGTCCACGCTTCAGAGCATATCATGAAGCATATCTCATACAAGGAAGCTTACATTTCATACCACAAACACTTTGATGTTCATAGTTTTAGAGCGTTTTGGAACCGCTTTGCTTCAAAGTGCATTTTTGTTTGAAAAATGTTTTGTGTTGGGTGTATTCACCTTCATGAATCATTTCCAAATACACCATTTCAATAAATTTGATGTGTATACCAATTTTAAAGAAAAAATTAAAGAGTGAAGGGAAGACATGACAACAATGATGATGATGAAGATCTTGACAATGATGCTAATGAGAAACAAATCATAGTATCATTGCAGAATCATTTCATACAAGAGTTGTTAAAGCAAGGAGTAGGCTAACAAAGAGTAGATTAAGAATGTGTGTTCGTTTTACTAGCACCAGTAGTTTAAATGAGCAACTTGAGGGATCAAACTAATAGGAATTTCATTTCAATAATTTTGTAAAGTTTACACCGTTCAATGCATGGGCTTCTTAAAACTAATTTATTACATAAGAAAACTCCTCTTCATAATACAAAATTCAAGATAAAATAATCAATTATTTAGTGCAATATGCTAACTTTAATTCATAGTTGCTTAGTTGTTAATTAAGAGTATTTTGCTAATTGCAATGTATGATGTGCAACAATGTTTTTAGCAAACTTAATTGATTATAATTTTAGACAAGGTTTATTTGATTGTTTGAAGAACCTCATTGTGCAGCCCCGCACTCTTAATCCAAACCATTCATGATGTAAAAACAAAAGGGCAAAAAAGTCAAACGGTTAATAAAAAAATTAGCATTTAGCATGAGACAGTCGCCAGATAGCTCATCCCAATAACAAGCATACTTCAGCTAACATAGATGCAAACATTCATAATATCGTTAAAATAATTTGACACGTAATCATAAAAGAGAAAAGTGTCAAATTGATCCCTAACTCTTTGCAAGGAACATTTTAGTACCAAAGTTTATAAAAGTGTCAATTTAGTCACCAGAATCTTTTAACATGGTTGAAATTGTTCCCAATGAAGACTCTTTTAACCCTCATTAAAAGAGTCAATGAACTAATTTAGCAATTCTATAAATTCTTGGACTGAAATGGCCCCATGTAAGCAATCATTAGACTATTTTGACACTTTACTCAAACATAAAATAACTTAAGTAATAAGCATTACCTGCATTTAGCATTTCAAAAAGGACTTCTTTCGCATTATCTAATTCCCCGACTTTGCTAAATCCATGAATGAGAGACTTATAAGTAAAATGATCAAGAACCAATCCTTTTTCCAGCATCTTGTTCCTAAATTTCCATGCAAAATCCATGTTGCCTCTCTTGCAATATGCATTGATTAATGTATTGCACGTAATATTATCAGCTTCGATATTTCTCTCTTCCATCTCATTCAATAGTTTATTAACAGCCTTCATCTTCCCCTCCTCACAGAGCTTTCGAATGACAGCATTGTACGTCTGAACACCCGGTCGTAATCCTCTCGTTTCCATTTCTTCGCGTAATTTAAGTGCCTCATCAAGCTCATTAACTCTACAAAATCCGACGATGAGAGTTGTATAAGTCACCTGGTTAGGAATAGCACCTTTAATTTCTTTGAAAAGCCTGAGCGCCTCTCTCATTCTCCCTTCTCTGCAAAATCCATGGATGAGAGCATTATAAGTCATGATATCTGGACTGACACCTTCCTTTCCCATTCTATCCTGAACAGCCAAAGCCTCGTAATGCATCCCCCTCCTACAGAAAAGTGAAATAAGCGTATTATACGTGAATAAATCCGGAATGACACCCTTATAATCCATCTCCCTCACCAACTTCTCCGCTTTCTCAACATCGCCAGATTTAAAGCAAACGTGAATCATGACGTTATAGATGTAAATATTTGGCACGACTCCTACTGTAAGCATTTCATGGTAAACCTTCCAAGCCGTAGCCGTTCGCCTCGACTTTGCCAGCATGCTCAACAAAGCATTGCAAGCATGCGGATCCAGTTTGAGGCCTTCGTTCTTCATATGGTCAAATATTTGGAGTGCGTCCTCGGCCATCTTTGATTGTGAATATATGATTATGAGCCAGTTTAAAATTTGTGAATTTGTCTTAGGATCATCATAATAACACAGTAATGAACTCAGCACAGCAGGAGAAGAGAGAAATTCCTTGAAAGCAAACTTTTCAAGAAGATTTCTAGCGGTTTTGAATTGCCTGTTCTTAGTGAGGACAAGAAGCATGGTCCAGAAGGATTGGAGAGAATGGTGGTAGTGTGGCAGAGATTGTGCCCATCTGAAGAAAATCCATGAGAAGGAAGCATCTTTTGATAGTAGAAGAATAATTTGGTTTATATTGGAAGAGGTAAGGAAGAAACTGATTGCGCCATTCGACAGTTTATGCCAATTCCCCTTCAAAATAACAGCATAAACACTTTGAATAAATGAAGTGTCACTTCTTCCGACAAAAAGTGTACCCATGTGAAGAAACCCAATTGATTTATTCTCTAACATAGAACCAGAAGAGGTTGGGTATTAGTCGAATCATATGAATATCTTCATTGTAGTTTACATGCACCATAACTGTTTGCTAAAATGTCAGCATGAAGAGAATATAAACAATAGGAGCAAGCTTCACGCAATAAATTATAATAATATGTAATAATTATTTAAATAATGTAAAATATGTCGAATTATTCAGTAAGATAAACCAAAATATTTACATAGAAAATTTAAAACAGATACATGAAGTAATGGTTCATACAAATAACAAGCTTAACTCTAGCATAGTGATGATGATGATGACAATAATAAAAATAGATAGATCCCACAGAACAAAAGTAAAAAAATTGAGAGCATTATAAACAAGAAAATTGCAAATCAAATTAGGAAAATTTCCTTACATGGAACACAATTCTTATGTATTTACATATCTCATACCTAAGTTATCATAGTATCATATAGCACTTTAGTTCTTTAAACTTATGCATGAAAATGTGCATTCCACTTTTAAAAAGTGGTAATAGTGTTTTTTTTTTAATATGACATTAAATATTTGAGTTTTATGAGAGCAAATATGGAAGTTATGGTGTGGGATATGTAAATACATAAGAATTATGTGCTATGTATATAAATGCCCCATCAAATTATGAGCTTTTGCAGCATAAAAGAGGATAACAAAGGATGGTGAAAATAAATAAAAAAGGAATTCGTAATGGAATGGTAGCATAAAATCTAGCATATGTTGATAAGCTACCTATTTCTTTAAAATTACTATCATAGCACCCTGATCTCATTACTCTTTCAAAAACTCCACTCAATTAATAGATTAAATCATATACATGTGATGACTAACTCAGAGAATTAACCTCTAATGCATTTAAAAAGTCATCCCAAGATTTAAATATCTAAAACCTCAAAAAACAACCAAGTAAATGTAAATATTCCCATCCATACCTGTTAGCTTCAACCCAACAGAAGATGTTGAAGGAGAATTGACAGTAACTGAGGATGCCAATCTATTTTTTTCTGTCTGTTAGGCAAGCCCATCACAAGCAGCCGATGAAGCATTTAAAAGTTTCAATCATCTTGACTTAAACTGATTGGATATGATTGCACCTATAACATCAACAAATTAAGATTCAATGCCATTCAGGAGTCAACTGAAAGTAATAGCGTTTTAAATGTTTGGAGAGTGCTAAATTTAAGGTTAATTTGCATAAATAGCACACAATTCTTATGCATTTACATATCTCACACCTAAACTTTCATATTTAGATACATAGCACTTCGGTGTTTTAAATCTATTCATGAAAAGCTGTATTTAGTCTTAAAAAAGTGATTATAATGTCATTTTTGAAGTGATAATAAGGATTTGAGTGTTATGTGTGCAAATATGAAAGTATAGGTGTGAGATGTGTAAATACATAAGAATTGTATGCTGTGCATGTAAATGCCCCTAAATTTAATTGAGAACTTGTGTCCAAAAAAGGCTGCGCAAGTGTAGAACTATTGCCTAATGAACTACTTTAAACGTATGATGTCTTCTTAAAAACTTACTGAATGCTCTTGATGTTAGCATGGCTTCTGAGAATTTAAAGTTAAATGTTACTCTCTTGTTCATGTTAATTTTTTTCTTATTATTTTTTTAGTTATATGCTTTTTTTAAAAAAAATTAAAATATGCAGCCTTCATCTTCTATATATGAGATCAAATGTTTACTTATTCATCGAACAGATGTATGCTTATGTTGGTGTAGAGGTCCAATTCTACAAGTAAAGGATTAAAAGCTAGTCCCATCAATTTTTCCATATCATCTTTAGTAGTTGTACAAGTTAGCAGTATCATGCTTAGTTTTGCATTGAACTTTTATTGTGCCTGCCATTTATTTCATTTGCCTTACAATTTATCAGCAAGGTCATGCTCTCATAAAATTTGTAACTGCAGCATCACAAAAAGTACTAAGGGGTTGTTTGGCAACTTCTATGATTTAATTCTAGTAGAATTAGTGAATCTTACAAATCCAAATTTAGTAAATCCAGAGGCTGCTAAATCCTAGAAATCGTTCGTCAAGAAATTTGATAAATCCAATTAAATCCTATAAAACTGTTCGGTAGCTGCTTTTAAGATTTAAGTCTATTAGTTCAATTTATTTTTTTAATTACTTTTAATTATATAAATCATCAAGCAATAACTTTAAGTTAATTAATTACTAAGATTAATTTTTTATAATTAATTTATTATCATTAATTAGTACATATTAATCATAATTAGTATATAACATCTAGAATTCAAAATTGCTTAAAATTTATAACTACTTAAACATAAAAAATAGATTATTTATTGATAAAACTAGCTTAATTCCCATCCTTCCTCGTTGTTGAATACCTAGTAAAGAAGCTAGCTTGCTTCGTCTCCGACGATCACCCTCCTCATCTTTGAAGCAATGATTGAGGTTGCCTCCATCTCCTCTGTCTAGGCTTCCTTCTACCGCGAACACTGCATTAAGCCATGTAACCTTGAGAGCTACGTCGCTCTCAAGCGCAACCCTAGCAAGAACAATGCCCACCCAAACTTCATTCGCAACTGCCATCACATGAACACGAGTATGACAAGTTCAAGGCCCACATCAATAGCCTTCCTGACTCCATCCGCCGCCATTCCAAACACCTTCCCTACTTTCTTCCCCTTCGTGTATTTCTTGACTAAATCCCTTAAATTCGCCGAACAACTAAATTTACTAAATCCTAGCTTTATGCCGAAATCCGGGGATATAAAAGGTACTTTCTTACCATCTGGTAGGATTTAACTTAAATCGCAGCTTAACTCCATTACCAGACAGTCCCTAAGAAAGATATGATACAATGTGTCATACCTTTGTTCTAAATTCTTCCAAATGTTCAGCATCAATGAATTATTTCTACTTATAATTTTTTCTACCGCAGCTTCCCTAGTTATCTTTAATCTGATGTGATCGTTTTCAAGTTACATAAATGATTAAAAAATTGGGATTAAGAGCAGATTGCTACTACATCAAGCTTATTGAGTTAAAACCCAACCACATTGCATGCCACTGTTAGTACTGGTTAGCTTCAGACTGTCAGAATGTTAAGTTGCTACCAAAGAGGAAAATATTCAAATTCTTAAATAAATCCAAGAGCACAGAATTCACAGTTAATGGCAGCGGTGATGAACGGGATTGACTTCAATGGCAAATGTTTTAGTCATGATTATTCAAAAAAATTAAAATTAAAAAGAATATTAACCTGCTGGAGAATTATGTTAATGATTGTTAGAAAATTAGGGTAAATATAAATATAAATTTGATTGTTTTGGAAAATGAAAACTTCAGAACCGGCCCTTCAGCCTCCTTAAGCTCCCACGCAGATCTTGTGACATCCTTAGCAATTTTATTAGCTTGATCGCAGCGGAAAAATAAATAAATAAGATTGAAAAACCATAAAAAACTCTCTAATCAATGAAGAACACCCGGAGAAAAGAAATTAGAGCGCCGTAAGAGAAGTCAAAGAAATGAAATGCTTGAAGTGGAACTGGTGAAAAAGAGATTAAATGAGAGTTAGAGATTCACCGTAAGAAGAAGTTCTAGCGAGTCGAAGGAGAAAATGGGAAACGAAGCTTCGTCCGGAGGTATAGCAGGAAAATGGGACCGCAGAGGAGGCGAGTGCCAGCGTCGCGGAAGTGAAAGATTTGGCCGCTAATTTCCCCGCCGGAATGGGAAAGTGGGGAAAGTGGTCGTTTATCGAATAACTTCGTTAACATCATAATCAAACGACTTATGTTAATCCCTCTTCGTCATATGGGGTTTTGTAGTGATTTGAGGGTTTTAACGACCTCAAAATTAAGCGAGTTAAAGCTCGTTGAATTCTAATCATTGAGACACTTAATTTGAATATAAATATATTAAATTTGGAGATTGTTTGACCATCAATTAATGATATAAAATCTCCAAATGTGCTTTATTGGCTTGATGTAGTCTTTATTGAACTTGGATTAGACCAATTTTGCCATCATTTGGTTCGTTTTGTCAAGACGGTCAAGTTGACTATAAACTTGATGAATTCATATAGTAGACGATCTTCAATTTGAATCAAAATATTTCTTATTCAATAAATTATCTTGAGATTTCTATCAAATAATAAAAAAATATTGTTGATACATCAGTTACCCCATATTTTTAGTACTTGAATCGTTTGAAAATATAAAGCATTATGAGAGTCTTCCTCATCATTTCATATTCCCCAAAAGCCTTGTATGAAATATCTGATATTAATGCTTCATGGAGCATTCCGAAAAATGGTGAAGTGCTTTTGAAAAGACATTGTATTATATCGTTGCTGGTAGTGTTGGTGGTGTTCGGAAACAGTGATTGCTCAAAGGTTTGGCACGTAGGCATGCATATTAAGGTATACATGCTTGTGCATTTGAGAAAATGAGCAGAAATATGTGTTAAAAATGTAATGGGATCTACAACGAGCATGGATACAAGCTGGGATGCAACTGAGTGAGCTGATATGAGCAGACCCAACTTTGAGGCCGTGAGTGCACCCGTGTGTGCTCACTCGGGTTTGAGGTCTATTGACAGTGAAGGCAAGGTGCATGGGCATGCGTAGGCAGTGGCAACAGGTGTGTGAGTGTCTATAGAGCAGTGTGTGCATGGCAGGGGTAGCACGTGGGCGAGCATGGAGCAGCAAACCATTGAGGGTAGCAAGTGTGGACAGTTGTTAGGGTTTGCTGGGCTGGGTCAAGTCAAGGGATTTGGGAAAGTGTTGGCTGCTAGGCTGGGTCAGGTCACGTGGTTCCAAATGGTTTGCAGAATAGTTCATGTGGGGCTGTGCATAATGTTGTGTGCAATACCGCGCACGCATCTGAACGCATATGTGCACACATTTATGTGCACTTGCATGCGTGCCCACGGAGCTACAAGCATGAAAGATTTCAATTTATTTATTTATTTTTTCACCCTTTTACCCAAAATTTGGCCTACGAATAGGCCCAATAAGAAGGGGAGAAGGCACACTTCATCTTCTCAAGCTGAAGAGTCACTTGGCTTGTTGTTGCACCTCCTTTCTGGCTTATTGTTGTGCTTTTTTTTTGTGTTGTTGTTGCACTTAGGATTAATTTATGGCCTGCTGTTATACCTTTTTTCACATTGTTGTTGCACTTAGAGCTCCTTTCTAGCTTATTGTTGTTCAATTTCCCATGTGTTATTGTTGCGCTTAAAAACATTTTATTATATGTTGTTATTCCTTTTTTTTTTTTTTTACGCTGCTATTGCACAACATTGGAGCTTATTATTGTGTCTTTTCTTTTGTGTTACTATTGTGTTCAGAGTCCTTTATGGCTAGTTATTATGCTTTATGGGCAAGATTTTTTGTGCTTTGAGATGTCAGCATCTTGAGAATCTCAACCCTCTAAAGATTAGATGAAGTGCCATAATTTTGAGGAGGTAATGTTGATATTCACAGAGGATGAGGTAGATTTTTTTCTTAAAGGTGTGGAATAAATAGTTCACAAAGATCAAATAACTTATTGGCAAGTACAAATGGATGTATAATGTTAGTGCAAAGTAGATATTAGCCTTGGGAGATCAGCTGGTAGAGTGTACGATTGAATTATCCATTATAACGATTGTTCTTTCTATAAAGCTGAGAGCTAAATAATACTTGAGAAGAATTGATTGAGGCATGAGTTATTCATAGTTAGAAGATTGAGAATGTGAGAGTTTTTCGAGCAAAGAAGTTAGCACTTCTAGAGGAGAAAAAAAAGTTGTTGGCCCAAAATGTAGGAAAAGTTCCATCAAGACTTGTGTTGTTATTTTGTGCCTATCCCTGCAACTACCTCGTGCTCACCTTTATTGGTGTGATGTATTTCACATATTTCGGCCATGATATCCATGACACCAGTCATGCGTGCCTTTTTTGGCATGATAGTTAGGACCAATGTCTCGAAGTTACCCCCTCATGGTGATGACATTGAGAGGCTACCGAATGCTGCCAAAATTCCGTCTGAATAGTTAAATTGAACTTGCAATTCAAACAAAACTTTCAAATCATCAATTAATGAAGAAAATTTAAATTAAATTATTAAATAAGAAAAATGAAAAAGTTAAATAAAAACTTAACAACATAAGATTTATAGACGATAAATCAGCCATCAACGAGCTTGAATGGAATCTGTAATGAACATGGTATTTAGCTTAATAAGCTTGAACTTAAACGGAATTGAATAAAAATAAAACTTCAAAATTATTTATTGGGGACCCGATACTCTTCAACAAACTCAAATGAAATTTGTAATGAACTCGATAGTTAGCTTAAGAAGCTTGAACTTAATTTATCACCGACTTTCAAAATAATAAATATCATGAGCTATAAATATATCAAGAAGTGAATAAGTAAAACTCTTTATTTGAAAACAAATAATGATCACAATGAAATATATTTTGAATATTTAGATGAAATTAAACAAATGCCAAATAAATATCATTTTTTAAACTTGCAAAAAGATTTATGCTTAGCTCTGATTTACCACTGAATTCACAACACAAACACACAACCAGACATAAGGCAAAATTTAGATATCAAAATAAATTAATTGTATCTATTTCACAGATGATGCAATACTACAAATAGTAAAATCTAAATATCTGGAATGTGAACACAATCTAAATATGCTTGCATGTACTCCTAACATTACGTTGAATGCTCTGTTGGCATCAATTTTCGAAGTCACAAGTGCAGGATGTCCATTCAAACAACTTTAGGATATGCTTCACACACATATGACTAACCAAGGCCCAAGATATCCGTCTTCGATTCTTTGACATGTGGCCAAGATCATTTTACTAGGTTTTGGCTGTCGATGAGGCCCGACGAGGGTCGACCGACATTACATTGATAGGACGACCCTGGTCAGAAGAGTTTTGCTCGGCGCAACGTGAACAAATTAAGCCCTAAATTAGTATACTCATGAAAAATTATCCTTTAGATGACTCTTAATGGCAAAATGGACAGCGCGGTTACGTCCAGAACGTCGTTTTATCTTAAGGTCCTTCCTGGTTTTGCAAAGTAGTCTGAATTACCAAAAAACAGGAAACAACCCCAAGTAAACTAGGCGTGACCACGCCTAGACGTGGTTGTTGGCGTCAATTTTTGATGTCATGTGTATACGATGTCAGCTTGAGCTGCCTTAGGGTATGCTTCACGCACATAAGACTCCCCAAATCCCAAGACATGCGTCATCGATCCTCTGGCATGTGGTCAATATTTTTTTGCTAGGCTTTGATTGTCGATGAGGTGAGAGTCATCTAACATTACATTGATGGGACCAACCAGATGAGTTTCATTCGGTGCAACGCAAATAAATCAAGCCCTAAATTGGCTTACTCAAGAGGAATTAATCTTTAGATGGCTCTATATGGCAGAACAGACAATGTGGATGCATCTGAAACATCATTTTTGCTTAAGAAGGACCTTCTAGATCTTTCTACGTGGCCCAAATTACCAGAAAATAGGAAATAACCCCAAGTAAGCTAAGCTTGATCACGCGCAGGCATGGCCACAGCCACATAGGAGTGTGACCACGCCCAAAAGTGGCCAAGCCCCAATTGTGGTGTGGCCATGCCGTGCGCTCAACCTGATTTCATTGAATGGTCCCCTTTTTTATGTTTGGATGCCTTTCGACTGCCGCGATAAGCCGTTAGACTGATCCTTAGCCAAAAATGGCCTCTGAGCTAACCTGAGCACATGTCAAAAGAGGAAAGTGGCCATTCGAACCTTTGTTGATATCCTTCCTGCATGGGGATATCAGGAGGGAGCGTGCTAATTTCACTTGAGGAGAGCCAAGAGCGATCACAAAGAGCCTTGGAGAGTTTTGGGGAGATTTTGGGGAGCTTCTTAACGCGGATTCTTCTTCTGCCTCTTCTCCGTTTCTTTATTCTTTCTCTCGCATTTTCTGTTTCGGTTACTGTCTTGATCCGAGAAATAGGGGGAGAGGCAGAGAGATTGATGAGTGATCACAAGAGTGTTTGAAGAATTTTTGGAGAGTTCTCAGAGAGCTTCTTCATCATATTTCTTCTTCCTCCATTTCACCATTTTCCTTCCTTCTCCTTCCTTCTGCATTGTCTTTCTCAGTAACGGTCTCGGTCCGAGAAAATAGAGAGGAAGCGAAGAGTGGTGTTGCATCGGCGCTGGAAAACTCCTTGTGAGGAGAGTTTCATCACTCAAGGGGAGCGGAGGCTGGTACTTGGAGAGTCAACAGAATGTCTTCATCACGAAGAGAGCTTCTCCCGACCAACGACTAGACTTCGATCAACCACCGTGATGGTATAACCTCCTCAACCCTTATGTTTTCTTTCTTAGTCAGCCATAGGATTAGATTTTGGCTAGGTGGTGGGTTCAGTCGCCCACACGAGGCGAGTTTGCCGACCGACACTAATCGGCATGGCCACACGCCTTTGGTTGGCAATTGATTTCCTATAGGAAGCCCTAGGTTAAGAAGCTTTCAATGGACACATTTCTTACGAAGCTGAGCGGTTTCTTGAGATAAACCTTTGACCAACACCTAAATGGATAGGAATCCTAATTTTCCCACGACTACGACACTTTCAACTTTCCTTGGAGGGGTTGGGATAGTTCAATCTTAAAGAAAGGGAAAAGCTTTATAGCTAGCTGATTTTATAAAATCATGGTAGGTCGGTAGGATAGAATAAGGGTTTTGGCTAGTACGCTCTACGAATGATGAAGGTCTTTTATTATGAGAA